GTATAGCGCTCTACAAGGGCGATCGAGCTTTTTGGTGGATAGAACGTACTATCAACTTAGGGATGAGAAAATTTGCACTCATTGCCAAAAGAAGATTTGTTCATTCGAAACAGAGGGTATCCTAAATCTTGCCATGCGGCAGAACTTAGTTACCCTGTGAATTAGAAGATTTGATCAAGGATTATCTGGCCGAAGCCACTGAAAAAGACTATCAGTGCGAGATATGCAAGAACATTGGTGCAGTCGTGAACAAGAGATCTGTCGTCGTAGACCCAGATACGTTGATTATATGTCTGAAAAGGTAACGATTATACTGCGGATTTTTAAAAGTGTGCAGTCGTCTTATCTTTAGTTCCTCCTATTGAATATATGAACAGCCCGAAAATTTGAGAACCATGCATTATTTCGAAAAAAGAGTCTAGCAAAAGTTTTATGAGATTAAAAAAGGATTATATCAGTGACCTCTAATATGACCTAAATAATAGGAGGTTAACTTCTCAAATTCAAGTAGCAACCACCCTTGCTGGAAAAAAGACTAGCAGCGATTTCCTCCCTGACCATAGACCTGGAGGTTATCACTGCTTTGGGACGCAACAATCTTATACAGTTTGATGCTTCCAAAACACAGTACTGTACCTTGACGAACAAAAAGCGTGCTAGCGTTCATCCGGTTTCGATGGATGGCCGAGTTCTGCCAAAGAACCGTTCATTTCTGGTCAGAGTCCAGATCTTCGAGGACATGATCTATCTCGAACACATCTCGTCAATAGTGGCAGCTGGTGGGAAAAAGCCAGGTCTAAAAGGTTCTTTTCTCCGGATGACCTCCTCACTCTATACAAGACCCAGGTAAGACCTAGCCTCGAGTACTGCTCACACGATTGAGGTGATGCCGCCTGGACTACATTATCCATGCTCGATGTTATCCAGAGGAGGGCCGTCCGGCTGATCAATTACTGATCTTTAACAGACAGTCTCAGGATCCTTTGGCACCGCCGGGCCGACGGCGATCTAGCTCTCTTCTACCGCTACACCAACTGTCTTTGCTCTCCTCCTTGATGCATGCCAAACAGACCTGCCTGACTTCCGCCTCCCATCCCAGGATGTCGAGATTGTGGAGCAAACTACAAGAGAAGGCTTTTCCCAGTTCTACTAACCATAGGCAGCTCAAAAATCGGATTAACAAAGTTTCCTTGGGATCATCATAGTACCCGCATTGCCCTGCCATTTAGGCTTCTGCCTGCGCGGCTCCGTCGGTGTCAAAAGAGAAACCGTTATGCGAAGCTGTAACGTCTGCAAAGTACACAAACGCTGTAGTGCCACACTTTTTTTTTCGAAAAAATATTTTCTCAACAGTTTCAGGAGACCAAAAAAATAATATACCGATGACCTTTAATATGACCTCAGATGTCATTTAGCGTTCAACCTCGTAAACTTGGATTATCATCTACCATTTTTGGTGTTCATATTCGTCACGCAATCAAAAGTGGTCAATTGGGCAGGCCTCAAAAGATCACAAATGCACCGGAAACTAGTCTAAACCGCATTTTTTAAAGGGTCTATGCTAAAGCTTCAGGAAGTCAAAAAAAGGGATGTGATTTAGACGTCAAAAGTAATTTGGAAGCCAAGTTTGTGAATTCAAATAGTTGCAATCTTTGGTGGCGGATTGAACTGCTGATTTGTCCACTTGTGCTGATCACGAATCTGTTGTCAGAACTAGTGGTGATTGCTTAAATTTACGAAGCTGACCTCCAAATAACCTCCGAGGTCATTGTCTAGCTCATACTAGAGGTGATTTGATTTTATAAATCTCTTATAGGAGCCTGTTTTCGGCAAATGCGTGGTGCCAAGTTTCCAGAGTGTTTATACAGTTTTCAGATGTTTCAGCTTGTCTGTATATGTAGAATCTCGTACTTATCGTTAATCATTTGCCAAAAATTACGGATAATGTGCATACATACGCAATTGCCTGCTTTAAGCGAAGGCGAATATTTAATTTCAATAATTTACGGAATGGAAACGGAATGTATAGTGAGAATCAACCTTCATATCTGTTTGTAGGATTATTAGTTTAAACAGTTTTCTGTAGCAAGAATTAGAGAGATCCTAGTCAATATAGCCGCTGCTAGATGGCGCGGTAGAATTTACTGACTGTTCCATCCATCCTAAATACGAATTGCAATGATTATTATAATACATAACGGTCTCAAAGGCTGAAAGCCAAAGAAATTTCTAGTAGATGATTGCTTTTGTTGTTTCAGTTATATTTTGTATTTCTGTATTTAAGGCGACACTCTTATAGTCAATTCCCTAAACTATAATTTACTAGTGTTATATAGGGACTTTCGCCATTCTTAGTACTGACGTTGGCGAAACCGATGTGGAATGTCAATTCAATTTAAATTTTGGGTAGCTACAAAAAAAACAGCTACTACACAATAGCGCAATTTTTGTAATTATACTGTCGATTGTACCTGTACAACTTGAAATTCAATTAGGGGTGAGACAATTTTTTCATTTGTAGCAAGAAGTAGAGAGATCCTAGTCAATATTAGCCGCTGCTAGATGGCGCGGTAGAATTTACTGACTGTTCCATCCTAAATACGAATTGCAATGAAGATTATACATAAAGGTCGCAGAGGCTGAAAGGCAAAGACATTTTAGTAGATGATTGCTCTTTTGTTTCAGCACAGCCGACGTCAACTACGAGCCGTGAACAAAGAAATCTGGCAACGTAGGTGGTAGTGTTACTCCCGCCGCTCAAAACGCTGAGAAAACATAACCTTTTCAATTTGTGATTTTGGAATCGCAGAGGCTGTAATTAAGAGATAAGCTTGTTTTCTAAACTTCAAAGTGTGTGTATGTGTTCAAAGTGATCGGTGACTATAATATATGAGAAATAGACTCCAGTTGTAGTGTTTCTGTGCTTTAAAAATAAACTAAGAAATGTGACTGTGGCTGTTCGCGCCTCAGGACGCTAAGGATTTCAACTATTGAAAACGTGCAAATTCTGGTTGTATTTTTCCAATTTCAAATAAAAATGACATGGCTAAAACTGTTTTAGCCTTCAGCATTTGGAAACATAACAGAAATTATCAATTACTAACAGTTTCAAATCTAACAGGTGATGAAATGACACCTTTGGTTGAACATGTGATAAATTTAGTTCAAAAATGTGGATTTGAAGTTATTTGTGTTGTTACTGATAATCACCGAATTAATAGAGCAATGTTCAGGAAATTACCAAAGGATTCATCAGAAAATTATTCTATTCCAAATCCACATAATCCTGATAAGAACATATATTTAACTTATGATGTTGTGCATATTTTCGGAATCAGAAATAATTGGATTAATTTAAAAAACCTAGACAAAACTTTTGTATATCCTAATTTTGACAATACTGATATTATTCAGTATGCTAAAATTGAAAACATTCGTGCTGTATATCAATTGGAAGAAGAAGCTGTAGTTAAGAAAGCATATAAATTAAATTATAAAACATTGCATCCAAATTCATTTGAAAGGCAAAATGTAAATTTTGTAGATAATTTATTCCATCACTCAACAATAGCTGCTATGAAGGAATTAAAGATTAATGATGCTGCACACTTTTTGGAAATAATCAGGAATTGGTGGGATATTGTCAGAAATACAAGTGTAATAAAAGGAGAATTGAAGTGAAACGAATTTGTAAGCCTATTACCAATAAATATGATTATAGAGTACAATTTTTGAAAAAATTCCTGATATGGTTAGAAAAATGGCATAATCTAGAGAATAATAATGGACACCTGACACCAGAAACGTATACAGCTCTATATCAAAGCACGCTGACTCTACTTAATATAATTGAATATTCATTTAATCAATTTGACATTGAGTATGTATTGCCTGGAAAATTCACCACTGATAATTTAGAAAAACGATTTGGCAATTATAGACTTTTATGTGGCTGCAATTACAATGTGTCATATGATGAAATTTTAAATGCTGAAAAGATATACGGCTGAAGCATATTTTCAATGAAAAGAAATCGTCATTTTCTTTAGCAGAAATTAAAACAAGGTTCCAAAACTGCTTAGAAACTCAAGAAAATTTTGATTTCTTGGATACCAAACAAAATCCTGAAGTTTTGGATATATTCAATGAATTATTTGAGACAAAATTACTTAGCCAATTGTGACATAGAGGATAGTACTAAGACTTATATATCTGGATATGCTTCACACGCTATCTCTAAAAACCTAAACTGCGAGATAAGCAAATCGCTAATAGTTAAAGAAAAAGGTTCATTAACAACAAGGTTATTTTGATTATTTGCAAAGAGGAGGACTGTTAATTCCAAACCAGTTATGTACCAATCATATTCTACCATATGTATGCCATTTTGAATCTATTATTAATGTAGATAGATTGGAAATTTTCGTCTTGAAAAGCAATAATCAAAAATTTATTTTGTCAGTTAACCTTGCTCAGCATTCAGTCTTTATTTACAGTGAATTTTCTTTAACTTGCATCTGTGGCCGCAATTATGCAGATATTTATCTAAGCTTTTGTCTATTTTTTTAAACATAATTTTGAATGATTATGTAAATTGAAAAATAACAGTAAAACTGAAAGTAAAGGTATTAAAAACAAACAGGTAACTCCACATTTCCAAGCTGGCCCTGTTGGAACACAGTGTGCTGACAAAAAAAAACGTAAACTAAATACTTTTAATTAGGTTAACTGCATTAGCGACTCATATATATCACGATTATTTCGTATTTTAAATTTTTTAGAGCTATTTCATATTCAGATGATTTGTATTGAATCGAACTGTCCTCTTTTCCAAAATAAATTTAGTTCTTGAACGTTACACGGAGACGGAGCACACAGCCGCAGCCGGCCGACGTTCACAGGTAGCACTACCATGCCGTCCGAGCGCGGTGTTGCCTTTCTTTCATCACGGCTCGTAGTTGACGTCGGCTGTGGTCTAAGCTTTTATTTAAGGCGACATCTTATGGTCAATTTCGAAACTATAATTTACTAGTGTTATATAGGAACTTTCGCCATGTTGGCGAAACCGATGTTGAATGTCAGTTCAATTTGAATGTTGGGTAGCTACAAGAAAAACTTGCACAATAGCCCAATTTTTAGTAATTATACTGTCGATTGTACTTGTACAACTTCAAATTCTATTAGGGGTGAGACAATTTTTTTATTTGTTGCTGAGAATATACGTTTTAATTGGACATCTTCAGGCAAAAAATGGATAAGGCTGGAAATAGGAAAACCAAACACTGTGTGCAGTCTGAACAACATCCACAGCAGACTACATTGACACTGTGCTCGTTTATGGAGAACCGGAACTTCGTGGATGTAGCCATTCGCTGCGGAGATTACGTTTTATACGCTCATAAAGTGGTTCTGGCTGCCAACAGCGCCTTCTTTAAGGTGAGTACATATTTCCCACAAATACCCATGATCATGACTGATGTATTTTTATAGGAAGAACTCTGGAAGGATTCATCTGTCCAGCAAGTGGTGATCACAGGATGTGATGCGTCTGTGGTGAGATCCTTACTGGAGTTCATATACTGCGGAAAAACTATTCTATCTTATGAACATCTCAGATACTTAGTTGCAGCAGCCAGGACATTACAAATTAAACCATTGGATAGTATGACATTTGACTTCCCCTTACATGGTAATTTATTCCATTCAGATATTCCAATTTTATTTTGTCTTATACAGGGTACATGAACAGTTTATTTCTCGGATGCAATTAGAATAACGGAAAAAGTGTCACAAGTCTTATGAAAAATTTCATATAGGGATCTCCTACCAAAATATAGACTTTCAAATTAAGACACTGGAGACTGCAAGGGAAAGACTACCGCAATATTGCTTATTTTTTAACACTCTATAGTAATGACTCTAGAGCGACATTTCTTGAAAAATGTATCCTTGATGGACGTTGATGAGTAGTTGCATGGAGCTATTTATAAAAAATTGGAACCATTCTGAGGAAGCGTAGATAACGGCTACATCGAAGAGTTGTTTTGACTGCAACCAACAACTGTTTTCAAAAATATAGCAGGGTTATCTACTAGGACCATATCATATTGCACCTCAAATTTATTAGGTACGTAGTCTTCGTGCATACTTTGACTCACTTAACTACCAATGCCTAACAAAGTGACCGCATTGTACTAACACAATAATAATACTTACCGATGGAAATATCTACCTTCAGTAGCCTGGTGCTACTCTTCGCAAATTATCTAAGAATAAGTACCATGTCTTGAAATCGTCTAACACCTCAATTATCTGCAAACACTCGCACTTTTAAAAAGTAACAGCAAAATATGAACTTAACGACAGAGATGTCAAAAAGACATAAAATTTGTTATTCTAGCCTAGTTTTTATGCTGGATTTAAAAATATCAACAATTTCAGATAGTTTTGTTTGGAAGCGTATGTAACAGGAACGGACTCAGGTTATTTTAGCCCCAAAATTTTTGTGTGATCCTATTTTTTAAATTCAATTTCAGAATTTGAAAATTTAGAGTTTTCTACATAAAAAAGGTACTCTTATTGAATATCAAGAAATTGTGCCATTTTTGAATAAAATCAAACTAAAAAATTTGTCACATGATAGGAAATGTACTACAAATTTAAATGATTTGTTGATTATACATAGTTAGCCATGACTACAAACAAAAGTTGTTTTGATTTGTTATGACTTATTTTGACATTAAGCTGACATTGTTAGCATTGTAAAATTTATTAGATTAAAATCAAAATTTTTATTAAATCGATTTAAAATGCCAAGATTTACAGACAGAGAACTGACTGACATGCATTTTATGTACGGGTTTCGCAATGGCAGTTCATTGGCAGCCGTAAGAGAATATCAAAGAAGATTTCCCAATCACATAGTACCTGGACGTCGAATGTTTACTGAGATTCATCAAAATTTGTCAAACCATGGAAGTTTTCAGCGCATGCAGGGCTCTGGAAGGCCACTGGGAAATCATCGTATGGATATTGTTTTAAATATGTTTGAAAATAATCCGCAAATATCCATACGAAATGTTTCAGAAATTATGGATATACCTCGACCAATAGTAAGAAAAATTTATGAATACCTATTTGATAGTTATCCTAAAAATAATAATTTTATGTAGGAAGAATGACAAGAATGCATGGATCACATCCTTATCATTTTAAACGGGTGCAGCATTTAACGGAGGCAGATTTTTTTACCGCGAATCGAGTTTTGCCAGTGGATATTAGCAAATGAAAACACTATTCCTAGAATATTATGGTCGGATGAGTCAATATTTACTAGGAATGGTGCTTTTAATTTTCATAACATGCATCACTGGTCAGATGAAAATCCAAAAGTTGTTCGCCGTACAAGTTTCCAACATAGATTTTCATTAAACTTATGAGCAGGAGTAATTGGGGATCAAGAAATTGGGCCTATTGTACTTCCCAATCGTCTTAATTCAGAGGTGTATCTGAACTTTCTTCAGAATGAGCTCATGGATATATGTAATACCATTGGATGTGCGCCAGCAGATTCAAGGAAATATGTTTTTTCAACATGATGGCGCCCCTGCACATTTTGGACGCAATGTTCGAAATTGGTTGAATGTCAATTTTCCGGACAGGTGGTTAGGCCGAGGAGGTCCTATAGCGTGGCCGCCACGTTCACCTGACCTATATCCATTGGATTTCTATTTTTGGGGGTCATTAAAAGACCTAGTTTACTCGACTGAAGCAAATTCTCAAGAAGATTTACTTCAAAGAATCCATCAGGCTGCAAATGAAATAAGAAGAAAAATGTTTTCCACTTTTCGGGCTACGCAATCATTATTTCGTCGAGCGAGACTCTGTATCCAACAAAATAGAAGTTTATTTGAACACTTATTGTAAAGCTAGTTCTAAGTATATCCAACTGTATGTCTTCTTTTTTAAACAGATTTAAATTTCGTTCGTAGAAAAAATTTATTTCTTTTGTTTTGTTTTATTTACCAATTATTAAATTAGTTTTTTGTTGCCATGGCTAATTATTTAACAATTCATTTAAATTCGCAGTACATTTCCTATCATGTGACAATTTTTTTAGTTTGATTTTATTCAAAAATGGCACAATTTATCGATATTCAATAAGAGTACATTTTTTATGTAGAAAACCCTAACATTTTAAATTCTAAAATTGAATTTCAAAAATAGAATCACACAAAAATTTTGGGGCTCAAATAACCTGAGTCCGTCCCTATTACATACGCTTCCAAACAAAACTGTATAAAATTGTTAATATTTTTAAATCCAGCATAACAAACTAGGCTAGAATACCAAATTTTATGTCTTTATCTCAACACGTTTCGGAAATATTAAGGAAAAACCATCTTCAGGGGAGCCCCTTTAAAAGACCGTAGCGCGCTTAGGGGACGTTTGTCGACCTATGTTTATATAAACTTTTTTTTCTATTTTAAGCTCTAGAAACCGCTGGTAGAATATTGCACACTTTTTTCGCGACACCCTGTATATATAACAAAATGGTAATTATGAATTTCAGGTTCTTGTAAAGGAACGTAAAACTACTACTAAACACTATATCAAGCGCGAATCCAGAGGGTCGTGACTCCCTCTAGGGCAAATGTGACTACTTATATTTATGGCTTTTGAATCTTTTTAGTAAATTTAATATGCAAATATGTAATGGATACAAACGGTTAAAAATTACCAGATTTTGGTGAAAAATCACCACACCTGGTAACCCTGATCAATTTGTAAGCACATCGATGCTTGCGTGGAAATAAGAGAGTGCGTAAGTCTGGTTGCCTATACGTTATGCTTGACGCAAATATGAATAAAATAGTGTTTCTGCGTGTTTCGGTTTGGTAGTACTGTATGTCCGTTAGTGCACTATAGCCTTATGTGTTCTGTGAATAAGGTAATTAATCGAAAATTTAGACATTGGGACAGGAATATAAGAAAAATCGTTTTCGCGCGCGCCTTTGACGCTGTGAGCAAACTTGATAAAAACTCATATTGATGGACAAAATCAGTGAAAAGCAGTCTCATCTGATTGAAAGGAGATGATAAGAAGTAAGCATCAGAGTTATCTAACCGTAAGAGTGATCAAATCTCTCACTCTTCATCTATCAGCTCATAAGCATAATATGCACTACTTCCTACTTTGGACTGTTTTTATTTGTTACTCAGTATGATGATATTGTCTTATTTTTATCATTTGCACGGTGTTTCCCAAATATGGGGCAAGCATTTAATGAGTGATTCTTGGGACTGCGAGGGATGTCTTTTAAGTTTTGCATATAGAAACGTAGTAGGCCGCGCGGAACAAACGTCAATACTGAATCTTAACCTCACTCTTTAGTAAGCTTAAATTCAAAGTTTCACAACAATACGTGCAGTGCTCTCACTACAGTGAATTTTTAAGTGTCACCAAGTCATTAGAAAAATGGAACTCAATCGAGAACATTTGTGTTAAAAGCGGGTCATATTGCAACAATTCCTCTTAATGAGCAAAGAACTGTTACTGCGGATTGGTATACCACCATTTGTTTGCCAAAAGTAATCACCGAACATCGAAAAATCAACCTAGAAAGAAGAATCATCCTCCACCAAGACAATGCAAGCTCGCTCACAGCCCAAAAAACAAGGCAGTATTTAACGGAAGAAAACGTGGAAAGGTTATTAGTGAGAAAATTCGGTTACTGATAATTAAACTTTATAATTCTGGGAAATCAAACTCAGAAATTGCAACTTTGTTAGACTTATCGTGGTACAGTGTGAGAAATATTGTTAGAAGATATAACGTAACTGGTTCAGTTAATATTAAGCCACGATATGTGAAAAAAAGTAATATCACAAATGCCGATCGAAGAGCATTAAGAAGAATAATCGTGAAAAACAAGCGTGCCAATTATTTACAATTAAGTGCTCTGTGGAGTGACGCTGTTGGAAGGAGAATTTAGAGCAAAAAAAATGAATCATTCCATGTTGACTGTCTGAAGAGAAAAGTGAAATTTCTAGGATCCATTATGGTCTGAGGCAGTAAGTCATCAAAAGGAGTAGGAAAACTTCATTTTATTGATGGAAATGGGGATACAAACAAATATTTAGCTGTTTTAGAAGAATCGCTTTTACCAGTGATGGAAGAATGTTTAACATCCGGCCAAGATCTTGTGTTTCAGCAAGATGGTGCAGCGTGCCATACCTCAAAAAAGGCTATAAAATGGATGGAGGAAAATAATGTACCACTTTTGAAATGGGTTTCTAGCAGTCCAGATCTGTCACCTATTGAAACTTTGTGGCACGAGATGAAAAAGGTTCTACGACAACATCCTGCTCGTACAATCACCGAACTGAGACAAAAGCTTCAAGAAATATGGGATTGTTTTACACCAAATTTTTGCCAAAACTTGGTTAACACTATGCCCCAAAGAATTTCAGCCGTAATAAAAAATAAAGGTGATGTTACCCAATGGTAATCTTTCAATTGTTGCTTTGTTAACTTCGCGCATTTATTCGCACATTCTTTATTTGTTCAGATGTTCTATTAGTTATAGGTCTAAGTGATTTCAAATATGTATTTTTTACGACTAGAGTGTATCTAAAATGTTTTTGAGAAAATAAATTGTTTTAGAAGTAAATAGTTTCGTCACGTTTAGTTTATAAAGGCATATTTTGGTACAAATCTTGAAGTGGGCCAACTGAAGTGGGAAGGGGTTCGTAGTCCCGATCTAAGTCCTAACGATTTCTTTACTTTCCGGAAAATTAAAAACAGACTGCGTGGTCAAGGGTTCCAGTCACCAGAAGGAGCAGTTGACGCATTCAAAAATGCCGTTTTGGATCTGCCAGCAAATGAGTGGAATAAGTGCTTCGAAAATTGGTTCGAGCGCATGCAGATGTGTATTAATCTTCGTGGAGAATACTTCGAAAAACACTAAAGTCGTTTAAAACTACCTACCGTGTTGTTTTATTTCCATATGCAAAACTTAAAAGACATCCCTCGTATTCTGAAACTGTTGTATTTGATCCTCTCGATTTGTGAAACACCTCTTGATTCCGGAAAAAATAGGACCCTAAAGGAAACGTCGTTGGAAATATGTTTTTCTTAAATAATTGTCATATATTACCGCTTAAGTTTTAACATCGTAACTCAAAAAATGACGATATCATGCTTGTCATTCGATAGGAAATTTTGCTCTTTTAAAAACTTGTCAGTTTTGAGTTACGCTGTGTTAGAAGATAAGCGACGAGCCAACTAAAACTATTAACTCATTTAGTTCGCCAGAGACGGACTAGCCATAACCGCAATATATATTGCTAATGATGGATCTGTAATGAGAATTATCATATTTTCAATACGAGTGAACCTATAACGATTCCATAATTTAGAAAACTGTACCAAAATAATAAGGCTGTTGTACTTCAAAACCCCAGAATGGTTCAGTGAATAAGACACACCCCTTCCCCACCGGAGACAAAAATTCTACTGAACATGAATCCTGTGACCCCCTGCCACAAATCTTGGACCCTTGCACTATATAAACCAATATTCGCGTTTAATGATGACTTAGCTTTTACTGTTTTATCAAATATATTGATACGTCGTTTAATTATTCCGCAGCTGGGAATTTTCTAAATTAAAAAGCGACGTTGTATTACCAGCTACAAAAAGTCATTCTTTCAAATGACGCCTTTTACGTTTGTTTTTTCTTTTTCAGACGACATGATAGTGATTCCCAAGCCACAGTTTCTCTCCAAAAAGCTCAAATTCTGTGGTTACCCGTCCAAGCGAGCTTCGGCCATCAACTCCTTCAGCGATCTATACAAACTCCACAAAGGCAAGAAAAGGTCCCGCATAGGAGCTGAAGGCCAGGTATGTGTTGAGAAAACCGAGGATAGTAGATTGGCTACTGCTAAAAAAGAGATCGCATCTGCTTCACAGGCTAATACTTCCATCATGGAAAAAGCTTGCACGGAGAGCTCAGTTAAGAAGTTCCCGCATCCTACAGCAGGATTTGGTGCAGGTCAAGCGTTTTTGCCCACTGACCCAATAGGGTCGAACAATGTCATTGATTTAACCATGCCAAGTAGCTCTGAAGAACGTACTCCTTATCTATTCGGAAATGAAGCCAACTCTATTGTGGAGATAATGTTCAAGACCAGTGATGGAAGCTTGGTCCCTGTTACTGATGAATTGCTCCAGAATCTTCAGAAGGATGGTCTGCAATTGTATGTGCTACGCCACTGGCAAAATGGGTTTCGACCATCTCCCGCAGGAGCGCGCCACCATCCAGCGCGCAGCCTACCACTGCCGACCGGAAGACCGTTGAATTTTGAACGGTCCAATGGGATGCCTTCCTCTCGGAGCGACCAGGAGAGAGGCCGGAAGAAGCTACCATTTTGACCATAACCAGAAAATCTGTTCGGTATAGACAATTTTTCAATTACGACAGTTTCTCATGAAATGTACATACAATACATTGAACAAAACATAAATGTAATCAATAAAAATACAGTCCACTATACACAACAGCAATATCAAGTGATGGACGAAGATGGAAAATTAGGCGAGGTTCATGAATTGCAACTGACTAAGGATATGACCAATGCGGCTGCTGGAAATATACCACTTTTACTGGAAACGTTAGATCTATTCGGCAATGCTCAAACAGACTCGGCAGACATCACTAATGAACCATGTAAAGCAGAGGATAACGCTGGTGCTCTGATCGATCCGAACAACGTAGGGATACCTTCACTGGACACTGAAGAGTTGAATGAGATATATTCAATCGAAAACGTGCCTTTGAATGCTCACACTGAGAAGCAGCCAGATCATTCCGAGGTTGAAATGCAGATGATGGATGATAAAGGAAGCATTCATGCTACCGCGAGAACTGATCAGAAAGAAGATCCAAGTTTGAACTTTTTTCCTGATATGTTTGATCTATTCGGCAATGCTCAAACAGACTCGGCAGACATCTTTAATGAACCATGTAAAGCAGAGGATAACGCTGGTGCTTTGATCGATCAGAACAACGTAGCGATACCTTCACTGGACACTGAAGAGTTGAATGAGAGCTATTCAATCGAAAACTTGCTTTTGAATGCATACGCTGAGATGCAGTCAGATCATTCCGAGGTTGAAATGCAGATGATGGATGTTAAAGGAAGCATTCCTGCTACCGCGAGTACTGATCAGAAAGAAGATCCAAGTTTGGACTTTTCTCCTGATATGTTTGATCTATTCGGCGATGCTCAAAAAGAATCTGTAGATATCACCACTGAACCATGTAAACTAGTGGATAACGCTGGTGCTTTGATCGATCCGGAAAACGTGCTTTTGAATGCTTTCGCTGAGAAGCAGCCAGATCATTCCAAGGTTGAAATGCAGATGACGGATGATAAAGGAAGCACTCCTGCTACCGCGAGTACTGATCAGAAGGAAGATACTGGTTTGGACTTTTCTCCTGATATGTTTTTTGCTGACTGGTAACAAGAGGATTTGTTTGGAAGAGGATACCTCGAAGCAGTGACATGTTGTTTGATTTTCAGTTTTTCAGTTAAATTGTATTCAGAATAATTATTTGTTTCAATAAAAACAATTTCATGATTACAGTTATTGTTTTTCGGACTCCATTGCCTGACCCTTTTCAAGTACAATGACAATTCATTCAGGAGTTACCTTAACAGTTTCCTCTCGAATGAGACCAGTCAAATCATTGTGGAAATTACGTTGGCAAATTTGCTGATTTTCAAAAATGAGAAAAAAAATAAAAGAAAATCCCTGGGTGGTGAAGTAACAGGTGAGAAAATATCCTACAGACAGTAATACTGTCAATAGAAAATACAAATGAGCGTCTAGATGTGAGACACTGCGCAAATGTTTGAAGTATGATGCGTCATTCCTAATTTTACTGTGATGTGGCTTAATTGCACACAACGCGGGCGCGGTGGCGATTTGCCATAATCAAAGTTTTTGAAAACACAAAAAACGGGAACTACCGTAATTTATAACTTTGAATATAACCTGTCTACAGAAAGGACAACATATAAATAACTCGTCGGGCACGGCTAATAGATGTAGACCATGTAGACTCATACACAAAATCATCCAGATGTGATCTTGCTACTCGGCAAACTTTCTTTCTTTCACATTCTCTCAGACTTACAGACTACTCGGATTCACAAAACATACGAGTATATTAGCTTTCTGCAACCAACAATGCGCGTTGCTGAGTCATTCCTCCCTAGATCAACGCTCACAAAACTACCTAGTCTGCAAGATGACATTTCGTTGTTTTTTACATTTTACAGGTTTTTTTACATAATAGCCGTGATGTAGGACGAACTATCTAAGGAATAAATCGTAAGGTCTCATCCACTATCTTACGCAAATTCTTGGGTTTAAGCCAAACAGATTCTCAATACCTGAAACCTGAGATCAAATCGCTAGGCGATGGCGTGCTAGTTTTTTGAGGTATCAACAGCAATAGTTCAAAAAATGTTGTTTCTCTGCATTTACTTCAGATAATTGAACGCTTAATACCTCAAATGAAAGCTTGTTAGATAGAGATATTATTTACATAATTTAATTTCATTTGTAAAAGTTTGCCGTGCTCGCTATGGCGAGGTCCTGGCGGATCTTCTGCGTCTGCCATGATGATAAAGAAACCACTCGAAATGAACTGGGAAACTCGAAAATAATAATCGTGCGTAAAACGTGTGCGCGTACGCAGTAGTTGATACCAACTAAACCTAATTCTCATTCGGCGTGCGGCGATGGCGTAACTACAATGATGAATAATAACAGCTCTCGCTCTGTCTCTCACTCCTCCACTAAGTCAGCTCTTCTCGCTCACTTCCTCGTCGAGCCGATGCCATAAAACAATCATGGCATGCGAGTCCTTTGAGGACAGTAACGACTTGTACAAGCAGGTAATACAGATTCCTTAAAAATTCAGCCTCTGTGGGTGTCATTGTTGTTTCTCTGCATTTACTTCAGATAATTGAACGCTTAATACCTCAAATGAAAGCTTGTTAGATAGAGATATTATTTACATAATTTGCACATTTCATTACTAAGAGATTTTTTACAGAAAATTGCATTTTTTATCGAATAAGTTAGTAAAAAAAAGAAAATGATACATTTAAAAAGCGTAATTTTAAAACGTTTGTAGTTTTTCAACATTTTATAACTTATTATGAACTATTGGAATGTCTGCTATGCGACGATAACAAAAAACTCAAAATCAAACATGCAGTTTCTTGTATTTCAATTTTAACCGTCTGAAATCGGAATACAAAATAAAAAACTTAAAATTCAAATAACTCAAAAATGGTTAACTTTTGGATAAGACATGATATGACAAAATCGGTTGCTTTTGACCTAATCTATCACCCCTTAGCAGGAACACGTGACATTACAATTCACCCTGTATATGGATGTGAGCTGTTTGGTTATTCCACAACTCAAGTGCAATTTAATATTTGGATCAAATTGGTTATCCGAGCATCAAGCACGTTTGGATTATCAATATTCACAGCTGAAGCTGATGATAGAAGAGGTTTTAGTAAATACGGAACTGTCGTTTCGGATTGATCCTCAGAAAATATCTGTAAACCTCTGCAAGAAAAATGATTATGTGTTTGATGTCGACGGAAATAAAGCTGTGTTACGCCACTGGTAGAGTACAGCGTTGATAGCGGCGGCGTCGGTTCCCGCAGCAAGGGATACAGCGCGGCGGATATCCGGATATTCAGGCAGAAGCAGCGAAAACTACTTTTGGTGGGACCGCTAAGGCATCACTTTTATATATTTTAGAAAAATATAGGAAACCATTCTCTGATACACCGGGACATGTCGTCAATTATTTTCATCAAATTGAGGTAGTGGATGGAAATGAATTTAATTTTGTGGCTTATCGTGTTCCTATGGTTTATCGGGATGAAGTTAGAAGGCAGATTGGTGATATGTTAGCGGCCGGTGTTATTCAGAAGGAAAGAACTTCCTACATTTCGCCGTTAGTTTGCGTAAAGAAAAGGGATGGGAATATTCGCGTGTGTTTGGATGCTCGGGGGCTGAACTCAAAGATCAAGGATTTGGTGAATCCTCCCAATCCATCTGAATTAATGGCCAATTTCAAACAGTGGCAAATTATGAGCACAATAAACTTGACGCAAGCATATTGGCAAATTCCAGTGTTGCCGGATCATACCAAATATCTTGGGTTGGTGTTCGAGGGTGAAACATATAGTTTTTGTCGGTTTCCATTTGGGTTATCTACTTCCACGGCAAGTCTTATTCGATGCTTAAATAAGATACTGGAGGGCTGTAATGATTTCGCGCAGGCGTATGTTGATGATTTACTAATTTACCCGGAGAACATAGCGGATCATTTAAGGCATTTGAAGACGATTTTTCAGAGATTTAGTGATACCGGAATTACAATAAAACTAAGGCAATGTCAGTTTATAAGGGAAAATGTACATTTTCTAGGTCATGTGATCACCTCAAGGGGAATTGAAAACGACGAGGGGCGTTTCAAAAATATTTCCGATTTTCCTGTTCCACGAAACTTAAGAGAGCTGCCTGGGTTCTTGGGTCTGGTCAATTATGAACACCGATTCTGCGCCGGGTATGCCGAATTGACCGTGCCTCTGTTGAAGTTGCTGAAGAAAGGAGAAAAATGGCGCTGCGGAAGCGATGAAATGGAGAGTTTTAGGGTTATTAAGTCGGCCTTCCTAAAGTCCATGATGCTTGTTCATCCTGATTTCAAGCGCACTTTTTATATTCAATGCGATGCTACCGCATATGCCGTGGGGGGGGTAGTCTTTATCAGATTAACGATACGGGAGTGAAACAACATGTTTGCTTCATGAGCTCCGTTTTGAAGGGCAGTCAATTAAACTATACTGTAACGGAAAGAGGAAGCTTGGGGGGTTGTCTCTTGTTTTCGTTTGTCGCGCACGTTGGTTCTGGGACGAGACTTGCTGGTCATTACAGATCATAAAGCACTTAGCTTTTTGATATCATGTATGTGAAATTACTTTCGGCAAGGTTGTCGCGTTGGATAACATTTATCCAAGAATTTGATTTCGAGATACGATACTGCAACGGGCCTGACAACGTAGTGTCGGATGCTTTGTCGCGGTATCCTTTAAAAGATAAGACGTGCAGTGTTCCAGGTTCTAAGGGAAGCGGGCAGATTTCGCTAATGAGGCTGAGTGGCGATTTTGCGGAACTTAAGAAGCATTTTAAAACTTTGAAGCTCGATCAGTTGAATGATGAATGGATCAGGGAAAGGATAGAGTTCTTGGAACTTATCACTCGCTACGTTATGGGCGTCCAAGTTGGTATAATGGGGTTCTACTCAAGTATTTGCTTTAAATGGAAGAGTGGTTTCGGTCAATTTCTCTTAATTACTCATATGGTAGGTGTCTTGGCGTCCTGAATAAATGCCTTAATGAGCACATGTCCCAAGACCCAACGGGTCCCAAGATATAGGCCGTCTGAGTCAGTATAATGGAGTAATCAGTCCTTCTCGAATATCTGCCTCAAATGAAAGAATGGTTTCGGTTAATGTCGCTAAGTTTTTTATATGTTATGTGCCTCGGCATCCTAAATAAATGCCTTAATGGACACAGGCCCCAAAACTCACCGAATTCCATGATATAGGGCGTCCAAGTCGGTATAATCTATTGGGTAGGAATAATGGGAATGTATGCTTTAAATGAAATAGTGGTTCGGGTTCATTCCGATGAATTTTTTATATGTTATGCGGAATCCTGAACAAATGCCTTAATGGACAGAGCCCCCAAAACTCAACAGGTCCAAGTCAATATAATATATTGGTTATACTTCGAATGTATGCCTTAAGTGAAATAGCGGTTTCGGTTAATTTCTCTGTGTTTTTCATATGTTATGTGTCTCGACGTCCTGGATAAATGCATTGATGGACATGGGCAACAAAACTCAACTGCTCTTGACATCACAAAAGCGTTCGATCTGCTGTGGCACGCTGCCGTCTTAAGCGAACTTCCATCCTATGGCCTATCAGAAAAGCTTTTCACATGGGTGGCTGACTTTATCTCTGGCCGCAAGATATCCGTCGTAATTGACGGGTTCTCCTCTTCATCCCACAAAGTCAACACGGGTGTTCCCAGGGGATCGGTCTTGGCTCCGACACTGTTTCTCTTACATATCAACGACCTCATTTCCTGCAGGATCAACCCAATACACAGCTTCGCTGTTGACAGCACTCTACATGCAGGAATTCAGAGTGACAAGCCGATCTCTGCCGCTGAGCTGGAAAAAAGAAGACTAGGGACGAATTCCTCTCTGACCTGATTGAGGACGCAACAATCTCAGTTCAATGCTTCCAAAACACAGTACTGTACCATAACGAACAAAAAGCATCCTAGCGCTCATTCGGTTTCGATGGATGGCCGAGTTCTGCCAAACGGCCATTCATTTTGGCTGCTCAGAGTCCAGATCACAGAGGACCTGATCGGGCACGAACACATCTCGTCAATAGCGGCAGCTGCTGGGAAAAAGCTAGGCTATTTGTTTAGGGTTAATAAGTACTTTTTTCCGCTGGTCCTTCTCCCTCTATA